AACTGACCAAACTCAGGGAGGCAGTGAAGGACAGGAAGGCCTGGCGCAATATGGTTCATGGGGTCACGAAGAGTCGGACACGACTTAACGACTAAACAACAACAACAAAATGACACTTAGATCTTTCAGCTCTTGAAAAGGTAATCTTGAATGCAGTTCCCAGATTTTAAGACATTAGGCAATCTGACACTGCCTCATAGCACTTGTATCATTGTTATCAAAGAACTCCTGTTATTATAATAGAATGTATACTGTTGCTTTAATAACAACAATATTTAAAAGTTATGTACTAGATATATCATCATGGATCCTACTTACTGATATGAAAAAGTTGCTCATGTTCCTGGTTCACAGAATCTTCAAGTCCTTTCAACAAACATTTGGAAACGTGCAGGACATCATCTATATTAGAGAACAATCCTTCCAGGTCAATTTCAGGCAGCTGAAATAGAATAGTACAATACTTCAGTTTCTTCTCACAATTAGCATATGCTCCTATTCTACAAGATAAAAAAGTTATCTTTTAAAAATATTTCTATCCCAATATTGCTTCTGAAACTGTATCCATCAAACATCTATAGGTTCTGCCTTCTGATAAATCCCTTTGTATTTTGTAAGCAACTCTATTATGCTGCTTTACTGGTCTATGGATTCTGCAGGTGCAGAAGTTGAGAGTACATTGTTGAAGAATGAATGTACAGAATGCAACTGCTGTATAGCTAGAAGAAACTTTTCACAATAGGATCCAGTGGTCACTTCAAGCCATACTTCTGAACAGCCAAGGGTTGACCAATTTTACTTGGTAAAGAGTACAGTAACAGCTAATATATTCTGTTTCCCCTACCTTAAACATACAGTAATTTCCATAGTACCTCCTATTGCAAGAATTCTCTCTCTATACACATATTTCTTACCACTTATTTAATGGCTCAGTCTACCTTAAGGTCTCAATTTTGGGACAAGCCATTAATGCTTATTTGCATAGCTTTCTTAATTCCTTAAAGGTATTGCTATTTATACAAAACAGGATTCCTTGTTGCAGATTTTAAACAATTCGATCATAATTCAAGTGCTGAGGATTACAGTTCATCTCTCTTATTCTCACCTGCTTTTTCTGGAGATGATCATGGATATCAAAAATGCAGAGCTGCAGGTTATGTACATAGTTAGCCTCTGTAGTGATGAGCTCATCCACAGCCATTTGGTGGTTTGGCTCTGCTTTGTCAAGACATAACACAGTCTCATAGATATGTTCCTCATCCTCTGATGTCTCCTTGGATGGCAGTTCTTCAGTGCTGTCATTTGCCATATTAGGAGCTGCAAAGGCAGAATGAGGAGTTTCAATCGTTGCTCATGTGAGCAATGCTCAGGTCAATTCTTAGTCTATATTTTAATGGGAATATTTCCTTTTGTTTATTATCACATTTTTAAAATATAAGGAGATAGCTAACATATAAAGCTTATCAATTGTAAATATTATTAAATATCATTGTGTTGTCCAACCACACCCAATCAGAACACACAGGACATAGATATCTTTTCAAAGTTTATTCCATACGGAAGAAAGACGCTTGGGAATAGTTTCGCAAAGTAAGCACATGTGCTTGTCTTCAGCAGCATAATTTATAGATTAGCACACAGGGAAATGGTAAAATCTCATTGGTACACATCATCAGTCCTGCCCACTCTAGGCGGGCACAGGAAATTCCTTATTTGGTCTTCTGATCATTAATCCCATCTACTCTAGGTGGGCACAGAAAATCCCTTATTTGGCCTTCTGGGAATGCGTCACAGTGGGAGTGTTTCTTATTAGAAACAAAAAGTAGTGGAACAAAACAAGTGGTATTTTTTATTATACTGCAAAATGAGATGGGTAAGATTTTCCATCAATAAAACAATCAGGATCTGCAAAGTAAATCAGCAAAACCAGGCAGGACTGAAAATGGCCACTGTTTGCAAAACAATCAAGTCTATGGTAAACAGGAGGCAAATGAGCGCTTGCACCCTGTCAAAGTGGGGTCGCTCATTCAGATGCGGATGCTAGGGCAATGTAACAATTGTTTCCTCCCAGTAAACAAGGCAAGACCAGCAGTGCTGGTCATCAGCAAAATGGTCAGGTCTTTGTGAAATCTTTGTAGGCATCAGGAAGCAATACTTGTAAATGTCATTTCTAGTCTACCAACTCAGCTGGGTGGACGACCTGCAAGTGACCTGTGCTTTCTCTCAAAAGATAGGGAGGTTATACAAAGTATTAAGATGGATAGAAATTATTAAAAATGTACAAAATATAAAATACAACATGGCTGAACACTGGCTCATCAATTGGTAAAGGGATTTTCAAATAGCAAGTTAAATCCTGATCACACAGAATTCTGTTGGTCAGCGTTTACACTGTGTTGATAGAAAGCCAATTTGTAGGAAGGAGTGAACACATATATTCAGACCTGATGAATCATTACATCAAAATAATAACCTGATTAATTATTACATCAAAATAATTCAAGATTTTAGCTACCTCAGTTCCCACTGAAACCAGAATTCTTTACTGATTTATAGATTCTAAATTTTTGTTATATACTTCAATTTCCCACTAACATCATTAAACCTTATTTTTATTTTGAACACTACATTAACATACTGAAGAATATTAGAAGAAAATGGAATTACTGTATAGTCCATTTTGTGCACATCAACACACACTCATTAGCATTAAATTTCCAAGATGCTGAAGTTGATATCCAATTCTTGCTAAACATCTTTTGGAATGTTCCAATAAGCATGAAAAATGCTGAAGTATTCTCATCTTAAGATCAAAAGATGCATATTTTACATTATTTAAAACACTAACATTTTGACTTGTTAAAAATAGGAAGTTCCATCCCTTTATTTCATATTTCTTGCAAAATTTTACTACCTAACTTAATGATGCTGTTTAATTTATTGAATTTGTTATAGCTACCCACTCTAATAGACTCTGGGTGGTGACCCATCGTTTGAAAAACCCTAATTGTTCTTAATCAGTTGCTAGGAAATGGAAGCTTGAATTCAGTTCTAAATAGCTGCTTGGGACTCTCAGAAAATGCCCCTATTTATTATTAGTGGGGGTGGGAGGTAGGGAGATGTTATAGAGATGTGAAAATATCTCTTCCTTCAACATATGTTTCTTGACTACAGAATGAAGTAACTCTCCACCAGATGTACAGGACACAGAGGTCCTTGCCATTAGTAGAGCTGTTCTCATGCCCTGCCTGACACTTTCACTCACATTCAATTTCTCTTTGCCCTAAAATTAGAAGGGATCTCGTAGAACAGATAAAACAAGCACCCAAGATTTTTAGTTTATAAATGTTTGTTCTATTCAGTTATATCATTCTACACTCTATACATTGTTAATTTGTAATCTACATATGTATGGTTATTGTGCATTATTTAAATTTTCTCTATATATTTTAGGTTATCTTGTATATGAACAACACTATAGAGGCTATGTTCTCATTTACATCTCATTTGGGGATTTACTCATTCACTTGCTTCCCCCTTTTCTACTACACAGTTCCAGAACTGCCCTTCTTAAAAGGCCAGAAGTTATGATAAATAAATGATAGTTCTCAGAGCCATGAAATAGGATAGTGAGGCTTACTGAGGAGCAAATGAAGTGATGCATACATTTGTAACTTGCTACTTTTAAAAAAAATGAAATAAATCATAGGAGGCTGAATTTCAAGCCAGGAGGAAACGGATGCATCTAAACACCTTCCCTTTGGACTATTTTCCTGTTCAGAATCACTCCAGTTTTCCTTGGTGCAAAGCACAGCAAAAGAAAACCTGAGATCTTGCAGTCAAGAAGGAAGAAGATACTTTTGAGCAAAAATATGTTTTGAAGAAAAAAAGATCAAGAATCTCCTTCACCCCCAGTGACTTTTCTTCATGACCCCAGCTTCCTTTCATTCAAAGAGAAGTCCTTTCACATACTGATGTGAAAGAGGCTTTTACATTTTATTTATTTATTTATCAAATTTATATGACCACTCATCTCACAAGAAGTGACTCTGGGTGGCACAAAAACAATAAACATGTCAAGCACAATCATATTTTAAAAAGTAAAAAAAAAACCCCTACATTCATACACACACACACGAGATTCAATCAGCAATGAAGCCACCTTAAGATCTCACAGGTCTTGATTTTAATTTTAAGGAGAGTTCATTGCTTGTTCCAGCCATGACATCATTCACAGCTCTACATAGTGATTATCATCCTCATCATCAACATAAAGGTTAAGCCTAGAATTAAAAGTGATAAAACTGCCATTAAAATATGGGAAAGCTGACCATGGTTGAGGGCACATAACACTTCTCAGTGACGTTTCTAAAGCACTTTGAGACATCTTGCTCTAAATGACAGCTCTATGACCTTGGATGAAAACATCATTTTAAAATCAATAAAGAGGAAAAGATATTGTTGTTTGCCTGGAATGGTGAGATAACCTTTCAAACTATTTTAACTGATGGATTTTTTTTTAATCTCAGCAATATTCAGTTGAACTGTAAAATGTTTTATTTTGGGGGCATAATTCTATATAGTACTCACCATTTATAGAGCATTATCAAACTAACATTAATATTTTTTTTAATGTAGCTCTTAATTTACTTAGGTACACTTAAATCAAAAAGTTGAGGTAAACTTTCCAATAATTTACACACAGACTGACCAAACAGAAGTTGCCACTTGCTTGACATAATTTTATATTTTTATAAATGATAATGTTGTAAAACCTGACAAATTCAGGTTCTTTGTACTTTCATAAGCTCAGGTTATATTCTAACCCTTAAGGATATGCTTCTATTATATACTATAGAATCCATGTTTATACTTCTTTCAGAAATCAAAGAGTAGCTTATATGCTTATTATCCCCATCAATTTTGTCCCAGAATGATCTAATGAAATGCGTTAGTCTGAGAGACAGCGATTGGCTGAAATAAATCTAGTAAACTATTTAATCGAGCAGAGATTTGGGCTCAGTTTTTTCTAGTTCACAAAACCCATTATAGAGTTACACTGTAAAGTAAAATAAAATGCTGACAATATGCAAAATTGCACACAGGAAATGTGAAGGGACCATATCTGAAAATACTAAAACTTGTGAAATGTAAGCAGTCTTGTGCAATTTTGACTTCTGCTGGTGGTAGTTTGAGCTGTTGCATAACAGAGTACAATGGTATTTGGGATTGAAAAAGGTTGCACCATCCTGATTTGTTTCATATGTCCAAATTATTACATGTAAATATAACATGCACTATGAACATACAGAACTTAGGGCCACTATAAATATTGTAATTTTATAAGCAGGTTTTTAGTATAAATAAATAGAAGGAATTGTACCTCCTTAAAATTGCATTGTTTTAATAAAATCTTTCTAGACTGTGTTGGAGAAACTATAATGAACTTGATACATATTACAACTTCTGGCAGCAGAAATGCCCATTTAGTTACTCATTTGTTTAGACGTTTTTGAGAAAATTAGTAAAATACACAACCGTTTTGAATAATTAATTCTAAAAGAGCATTATTTTCCATTTTTCCCAGGTCACCAACACATCAATTTTGTTAGTACTATTATATAACATTGGAAAACTAAAATACACTCTTTTTTGAACCAGTAATACTCAGAAATGTGGAGGCAGCAGTGATTTGAAAAATTAAGGGAGCAACAAAGTCTATCAAAGAAACCTTTAAGTTAAAGATTGTTTTATTCAATCGCTGACAGATTACATCTATTTATACAAATGCTTTTTGGACAGAAACATTCTTAAGGTTTCAAACGTATATAGATAAACTGCAAAACTGTTTTTCTTCTGTATAGTTTCAGTTTTGGGGGTTCTTAATATTTTCTGAGCTTGCTTGTTTTTCTGCAGATGTTTTGTTACCATGCCAAGTGACATCATCACTGTATGTCCACTGTCCCAGGCACTGATGATGTTTCCTAGCCTGGTAACGAAACATCTGCAGGGAAACCACCAAACTCAGAGAACATTAAGAAACCAACAGTTCAGTCCTAAACTATATATATTCTCTACGAATGGAGTTTCAATTTTAGATGTTTTAACTGCTCTTATTCTTTTTTTACATTTTTCATGTTCTGTTCCTCATACAGGTAGTCCTGGGGTTACGACCATTCATTCAGCAACCATTCAAAGTTACAGTGGCGCTGGACGAGGGGGACTTACGGCTGGTCCTTGAAGTTGGGGCTTTTGCAGCGTCTGCATGTCATGTGATCGCAATTCAGGCGATTGGCAAGCAGCTTGCAATTATGATA